TCAGATGAAACAATAGCTGAGATGTCTGAGGACTCGCTGTTCTTATTGGAACCTCCCACCAGCCCATTTTACAGAAGGGAAAACCAAGGCTCAGAGCAGGGACAATCCATGTGGCCCGGGAGTCATCCAACTCCAGAGCTTCTTTCTTAACCACCCCCTCCTCCAGGAATGGGAGCGGAGGAGGGGAGGTGAAGCTCAGACAGCGTGGGATTTGAAGTGATTTCCGCTGGTGGGCCTCCACTGCCCTGTCAGTAAAATGGGTTGGCAGAGACCCAGGGCTCCCCGAGCAGCAGTGCCTCAGCTCAGATTCCCGGCTCGCACCTCTCTGCCTGAGAAGTGAGCCAGTTCACCCCTGGAGGTCCAGGCAAGTTCAGACCCAGCTGTGACATCCGGGGCCCAGATGGTCTCCCCTGCCCTGCAGCTTGTCCCCCAGAGTGCTTTCCCCCCAAGTGACTGTCGGTGCCCTCGGGGAACCCACCATCCCCCTCTGAGGGGCCCACCCCCTCTCCATGGCGCCTGCCCCTAACGCAGCATCGCCTGTGCCCAGGGGCCAGCGGGCAGGCAGCCTTGGCGAGCGCTCCCTAGGCTGCAGTCCAGGGATGGGAGCGCCCAGGGAGGTGGGCGCAGCTCCCCGTCCCCCGAGTCCCAGCTCCTCTCGGGGCAGCCCTAGGCGCAGTCACCCCACACCCCCAGCCTCCATTCCTGGGGGCTCGGCAAAGCCCCCGGGCGGTGGCCAGCTCCATAGCCGTGTCCCTTTGTCCCAGGCTGGTGCTCCCGGCACCCACACCGTCCCTGCCTCATAAGAGCTCCCGGAGGAAGGCTGTCATTATCTCTTTTACTTTTGGAGGAGGAAACGGGAGTTCAGAATGAAGTCCCTTGTCCGGTCACCGCCTGGCAAGTGGCAGAAGCAGGATTTTAACCCCCAGCTGTAGGGCTCCGAGTCTGAGCCCTTCCCCATCCTCCTCGCTGCCCTCCTCACTGCCAGGACACCGGGCACCTCCCTTGATGGGTCTGGTGGCTGGGGGACAGGCCCGGTTCCTGGGCTGCGCCCACCGGCCCCTCCTGGGGTGGCGCTGGGTGCCCGGGGAGCTGCCTTGGCTTCTGGCTTCGTGGGTGGCCGGCTGCCAAGTTGCCCCGCTTTTGCTTCCAGAGCCCCCCTCCAGGTCTTTGCTGCCCTCTGCTCCCGTCTGCCTGCCTGCGTTGAGCTGTTTCTCTGGTAGCAGAGGTGGCCTCTTGTTGGGGCCTGGCCAAGGTCAAGGATCAGCTCAGCGCCTGCTCCTCTGGCCCCGGCCCTGGGGCAGGTTGCCTCTCGCTGCGCCTGGGGTGAGGCATTCCCACCCCAGAGGCTGGAGGGGATCCTGTTGGATGACGGTGGGAAAAGCTTTGACGCAGCACCTGCTCAGTCAGCGTAAAAACACGAAGCGCGGGCTTGTCTCTAAGTGCTGCTGCCCATGAACGGTCAGTATTCAGCCAAGCGGGGAGTGGCTAACATTCCTCTTATTCTCGCTGTCCCTCTCCCAGGGTCGCCCCTGGCCTTTAGCATCCAGATCCCTTCTAACCCCCGACCAGCTGGAAAGGACAGGAGTCCCCCCCAACTTGCGGTTTTACCTTTCGTGATTTCATTGATGTGCAGTCAACTCCGGTCCGAACATATTCCATGGAAAGTTCCAGAAATAAACAATTGATAAGTTTTCAACTGTGGGCCGTCCTGAGTAGCGTGATGCAATCATCGGTTTGGGGTGTGAATCATCCGTTTGTCCAGCATCACGCGGGGCACGCTCCCGCCCGCGGTAGCCATGTCGGTCATCAGAGAGCGACTGTCAGGTGTCACGGTGCGTGTGTCCTTATTTTACTTAATGGCCCCAAAGCGCACAAGTCGCTTAAACTTTATCACAGGTTTGTATTATAGGAAAAGCATAGTATATCCGCGGTTTCAGTTACCCACTGGGGGTCTTGGCACGTATCCCCCAGGACAAGCGGACGGCTGTACACACACAGGCCCTTGCACACTAGCCTTTCCTTTCTGGAGAGAACCTTCCGAGGTCATCCCCTTTTCTCCCCCCCCCCCCCCCCCCAATTGCCATCTGTTCCCTCAAAGCTCCATTCTCTCCTCCCCACTAAGTGTCAGGAGGAAAGGGTGGTTATGCTAATCAAGCTAACACGTGACTGACAGTTCCCCAGGGGCACTGACACCGAAGTAATCATCATGGGCGGACTGCTGAGTGGCTTTATGTCTGGCCCAGCCGCCCTTCCGCCCCCTGGAAGTAGCCAGACCCGGAATTCAGGGCACCCAGGAACCCCAGCATTGTCAGCAGCACGTTTCTGGAGAGGGTTCCCCAGCTGCTTTCTGCAGCTCAGAGCCCAGTGGCCCCGGGAGGAGACTCAGCTTTGCTTTGTCAGTCGCTTCTGGAACCTCCCAGCACCTTCGAGGTCAGGGGCCCCAGCCCTTTGCAGGGAAGGAAACTGCGGCTCAGATGGAGGAAGTGACTCTCCCAAAGCCGCGTGGCCAGGAAATGCCTCGGCCTTTCATCAGCTTCGACCCTGGGCCCGGGGGTGCATTTTCCACTCGCGTGGAGTGAAGGGCCCCAGGCCGAGCGGGCCCTGCGCCTGGATTGGTCCAGCTGCAGGCCAGGTCCTGTGGTGGTTTTGGCTGGACCTGATGTTCAAAGAGGAATGCCGTCTCCTCATTCCCTTCCCTCCACACCCTGCTCCGCTCCCCACGCTGCTGGCAGCTCCCAGGCACGTGGGTTCTCTCCTGCCTGTGACTTTGCACTGGCTGTTCCCTCTGCCAGGAACACTCTTCTCTCTTCCCTGCCTGGCTGTGCAGACTCCGCCGAGGGCTGCCTCCTCCTGCAGGAAGCCTGCCCTCACCTGCTCAGTAAAACCCATCACCCCCTCCCAGGTGTGTGTCTATGATGTGTGTGGACCTGGGACTGAGGCTCTGTCTCTGAGCTCCAAACCCAATTCCTGGCACATAGTAGTTGCTCATTAAATGTTAGAAATAATGGATAACCAGTTATTATGGTAGAAACTGCTCAGTGCTTCCTGTGTGCCAGGCCTCGCTGACCACGGTCTCCCTCTCTCCCCAGATGTGAGCCCAGCAGGCCTCTGGCGGACCTACCACTGAAGCAGGTCCCGCACCCCAGGCCCAGCATGCGCTCGGTGCGGA